GTTCGATCAAAAGTCATATTAGGCACGAAAAAGTCGACGACTGCATAGGAAACTTCAATTTATGCAAAGTCCTTGAATATTTGTCAACTTTTGGGACACAGCACCTGACACCTGACAACGTTTCACGAGTTTAATGCGATCTTTCTCAAACTTAGATTATGGATAATTGGCAAAAATGGCGTCAAATAAACCATGTGTTTTGTTCCGTTGGACTAAAAGTTATCCTTAAATTTCGCTCATATTTGCGACCAACTCTCGAAAGTTAAGCTTTCAGCTGTTTTTCATGACCGATGTCATCAATTACTTCATGTGAGTACGGAAAATAAAGCTTTTAATCAACGTTTACATAAAAATATCAAGAATTAAACTGAGGTGGCGACTTTCTGGATCAGTTTTTGGCAATTTTTTTAGTAACTTTTTGGCATTCCAATGAGAAATTTTCCAGTATTCTACGATCACAATCGGTACAGGCCTATACCCTACTCGTAAACATTTTCTTAACAGCATATAAAAACAATTAAATAACAGTTCTTTTGCGCTCGAAGAGTCTATACTTTTTTCGTTTCTTTATTGCGACTTTTATTTTGTTTAAGTATCCATTAGAGTTTCCTTTTTTAGTTATGCGATAGTAAGAAATTAAAAATTGTTTATAACCCCTTGGCGATGGGTCATTGTAAAAACAGTTCTTTAAAAAACCTTTTGTTTTGTTTTTCGATGTTGGCCAATAACTGAGCCTCGAGTCCATGTACTCGACCCAGTTACGCAGCTCGTTTCTAAGCATATCGAACATGGGCTGATTATTCTTTAGTTGATAAACTTTTGTCCAAATATCTGAGGATTTTACAGTTGTGGTTTCAAGCAACAGATATGTTTTCTTAACTTGTTAATAAGCAAGGCCGCGGATGATAGTTTTCTCTTTACTGAACTTGTTAAAGCTTACGCTGGATTGAAGGCAACAAAGGTTTCATTTGAACACAAGTAATTATTAAGGTATTCATTCCGAAGGCAACTTTGTCCACAACAGGAGGTTCTGGGCGACAACGAGGTCGATTTCTACAGTATCCTGAAAGACTTCGCAAAGAAGAAAACCATGCAGGGCTTGCGGCAAAATCACTTGGTCTTTGCGATTACTGGCATATTTCTGTTAGTTTTGTTCGTTGGGGCAAACAGAAACTTATGTGGGAGTGTTTTTAAAACTCAAGTTGGTAAGTAATAAACCCGGCTCGGTCCAGCCTAATTTCCTCATGTTTACCCAAAGACTTCTCTTTGCAGGCTATGCCTTACTGGGTCACGTTATGACTAAAACTGATGTTCTTGACGAGTTTGAATGTCAGCTAAAATGTATGGGAAATGGCAGTTGCAAATCGTTTAATGTCCATCACAAAAGCAATAATACGAAGCGCATTTGTGAGCTGAACAACATAACATGGCAGATGAACCCGGATGATTTCAAACAGAAGAAAGGATCCACGTACTTTGGATCTGTTCAGGTCAGTAAAAAAAATGTATCTCTGAAGTTTGCTTGTTATCGTGTTGGATTCTACAGGCGTTAATGCAATCATTGTTAATTCGTGTCAATATTAAATTTTGGTAACACTAACATTAATCACCGTTTAGTTTCCATTGTTTGCTATTAACAACCGTTTCAAAAGTCGTATTTGTTTAATCCTTAGAGATCACAGATTTTGGACGCCTTGCTTTTTTTCCTTCTTATTTTTTCCTGGTTTTGTGAATAACCTTGAGCAAGCAAGTTAAAAAGAAATGCCGGAGTTGCGCGAGCGCGAAAATTTAAAAATCCAGCATGCAGAGACCGCTGTAAGCAAGGCTTGCTCCCGACCCTCTTCATAAGTACATTTAGCCTCAATACCTAAGGAAAAGACAATTGGCAAAAATGAACTCCGATTTGGTTCCCTTTTCCTGTTATCCTTAAGGCAAGGCTTTAGATAGCATCGAAAATAGCTTAGAGAACTCGGTGGCACGACGTTCAATGTTTCCCTTTTGCCGTTTAACGTAAGGGTCAAGTTTAACTTCAATTTATACAGAGTAGCTTTGCAGCTGCCATCAATTTGTTATAACAGAGCGCCGTGAAAACAACAGAAGGCATAAAAAGTAAGACTTACTTCATAATTTGTTAATTGGATTCTTTGTCGCACACGCAATTACCTCCTCAAAAAAATTACTCTCCTGATTTACACTTTTATCTCTCTACATTTTATATACATTCATTCACGAAGAATTGATTTTTCTTTATTGAATGATTTAAATTCAATCCTTGAGCAGTTTTTTCGTTTAATGCCTTTTGAGATGTTTCACATCGTCATAATTCAACAGTTAAAAGGATGATGTTCCATTGCAATCGCTTTTCATAGAAATAAATAGGAATCAAAATTATATTAGTCAAAGAAAAGTCTATCGCTTGTACGGCCATCAAAAAACTGCAGGAAACATTCTTGACGCGTTTTTTTAAACTTGACCCAGGCCACATGCGTCCATGTTTTCCATGAAAACAATGAACAAATAAATGGCAGCAAGTGTCGTCCAGGATACAAAGGAGAAAGGTGTCAAATACGTAAGTACTTATTACAATAACAATTTAACGTCTATTATGGCTCCAAGCCCGTTTTTCAAAAATTGTAAAATGGTCGCCATTTAAACATTTCATGGTCGCGCAACTACTCCTTTCTCACTCCTAAAGAAAAAATAAAAAAGAAAGAAAACGTCTGGTACCAGAGAAGATTCACAACAAAGATGCTGAGACCGGATTAATACGATTTCGGTCGATTGTGCAGCTGAAAAACATCTCTCATAGTTTGCAGTGAGCTAAACTATTAGTGTTGAAAACCTTCCTTATTTTAAACAACATTTTGAATCGCTTAAGACTTACTTCGTACTGCAAAGTTGATAATTAGACTGAGATGCTGAACGTCATTTAAATGAAGGTTATGTCATTGAAATCAGTTTGACTTGATCAACGCTCATTTATGGTTCATGCGTATCTGAGAGTAACAGAACGGCGAGAAAGAACAAGAGAAAGACAGGAGAAACGGGCGTTGTTCGATAATTCGACCAAAGATTGATAATTTTCTCAAGTCTCCTTTTTTTATTTTTCTTTTCTTTTCGATTTGTTGATTGCCAATTGGCGACTTTGGTCTAAAGTTTAGTTGACAAATATGACCAAACATATTTTTCACCCGCCAACTTGGAGCGCTGATATAGCTATGAGCAATCTGAGCCAACCAAACAGCCACACCTTTAAAATTGTCAATGAGCCATGCGTGCATGCATGAACCATTAGTTCATGCCTAGATAGTCACTCACTTTTAAAAATAAAACGTTTGATCTTGATAGTGCAGCACACGCTTTATTTGTGAAACTCAACGCATTGTTAACAAACCTTTTTTCCAACATCCGTTATATGCTTCTTGACCCGTCCGCTTTATGGCGCACCGTGCGAGGAGTTGACGAACTCTGGATAACAACTCGCAAATGAATTAAATTTCATTTCACCTGCAGATGAAAATTAGGCAAAGAATTGACCCTCATAGGTGGACTGCACCTTTAGCAATTACAAAAAAGCAGCCTGAAAAAGTTTCAGGCTTCGAAAGGATTCGAACAGTCGTGCCAAGAGGGGTTTCACACAGTCTACTTTAGGTAACTAGGCAGAATATAACCTCTGCACCAAGCCGAATATTACATTTCAATGTGGATCAGATTGATTACGTGGAAAACCTTGGCTCAAAACTTGAAAGTGGGAACAGAGAAATTAATGATAATACTGTCCAGTCTATAAGACATTTCTTTCGCTAGCCGGATCGTATTTTTCAGGTGTGTATTTGCAATGGTAGATCTGTTCAAAGTGTTCTACCGAGATTTTGTTGCTGTCGTCGAGTTTCGTGTTCTAATATAAGTCTTTTTTAATTCTAAATTATCACACCCTTTATTTATTTTTTACACGGTCTGTCAACGCGATCAACAGTAGTTTAGAGTAGCCAAACCCAACTACAAAAGACAAAAAGTTTCTGTCTGCATTAAAATTTTCGTGATGATTAAGCAAATGTGGACCCAAAACTCCAAAAGATTGAATATAAAAGAAGACTACGGCGAAGGACGATGATGATGATCTTGATGCACACAATAATGATCAGTTGTTTTTCTTATAACTTATGCTTATAAATATTTTCGTTCTTAGAAGGCAGGATTTATGGGGATAGGGATAATTACAAGTTTACGAATGTCTTCGTAGGCTGGTTCGGGATGGGCAAAATAATAGAACCGAGTATTCTACAGAGATTCCAAGTTGCTGGTAGCAAAATCAATTTTCAAGCTCCCCATTTAAACCTCATTAGGTTGCAATCCCAATTACATAAAATTGAATACTCTCTCTTGTAGCTTCTAAGAGCTGTCTCGAAATTTACAAGTCTGGCTATAAGATGAGTGGAGTGTATTACATCGATCCTGATGGTTTGGGTGAATTTAAAGTCTTCTGTGATCAGACGACGGCTGGGGGAGGATGGACGGTGTTTCAAAAGAGATTTGACGGCACTGTAGATTTCTTCCGCACCTGGGATGACTACAGACAGGGCTTCGGCAATCTGAACGGCGAGTTTTGGCTCGGGCTGGACAAGATTTATCGCCTGACTGCGAGCAGCAGTAACAAGCTTCGTGTTGACTTGGAAGACGTCCGTGGTGGAAGGGCATTTGCAGAGTACCAGTCATTTTCTGTGGCCAATGAGGAAGAGAAATATTTATTAATATTGGGAAGTTATTCAGGTGCGATTGAACTTTCTCACAACGACTATATATTCGAGGGCATATTGTTAATTTGCACCCGCGCAGTGTCTCTTGCGAGCTGAGCGCGCGTACTAAGAATTATGTTATCAAACATTTTGCTAGTATAAGTTGGGCCTCACGAAAACCTCACTCTGAACATAGTAATGTTTGTTGCTGTGGAGGTGATTGTTCGTTGCATGACGATTAATTCAAGAGTTTTTTTAACAGGCTCGGCAGGTGATTCTCTTGCATATCATCGTGGCCTACAATTTAGCAGCAAAGATCAGGATAATGACAGATCCCAACACAACTGTGCTTCATCCATGAAAGGCGGCTGGTGGTACAACAGTTGCCAACACTCAAACCTAAACGGTTTGTACCGAAAAGGTCAAAGTGGATCAACGGTAATGCGCTGGAATCGCTGGAGAGGCAGTGAGTCTGTCGAAAGATCAGAGATGAAAGTTCGTCAAAATG